ACAACAACAACAACAACAACAACAACAACAACAACAGCAACAACAACAACATAACCACACAAAAATGCAATTGATGTTGAAAAGGAAATAGCCAAATGGATTGAGAGGAAATCAAATTTAAATTACAGTAAGATCTCAAATCAGATGTGTCCTGCTTATGTACGTTTATACTATGTTATGCTACATGTTTTTTTTTTGTTTTTTTTTTTTTTTAAAGCAAGATCTGGACATGTATGCTCATGTTAGTATGAAAGGAAGAAACATCAACACACCAAACACCTCTCAAGAAGCTCTTCGGAGTAGGTGGTTAACATCTTGGAGGTCAAGGCTCCGACCTGGTCGCACGACAGGCCGGTCCAGTCACATCGCATGGCGCAAGTGGATGGAATGCTCCCCTTCAAAAATGACTTTCCTTTGGAAAACCGGAGTATCTTCATTGGATTTTCTGGGATTTTCATGATGGATTTTCTGTGATGTTCATGGATTTTCATTGATGTTCATGGATTTTCTGTGATTTTCATGGATTTTCTGTGCTGTTCATGGATTTTCATGGATTTTCCACTTTGAATTAATATCTAAACAGTGTCATTCCACGTGTGACGTTGGTCACAAAGCTCAAGAACGTTGATGGACAACGCCGGGGGGGGGGGCAGGGTTTTCTCTGCCCGTCCCTGAAGCGAACCCCGAAGAGGATGTCCGCATCTTGAGAAGGTCTCAAGGTCTCCGCATGTCTCCGCCGTTCCCACCTGACCTCGGTGGTTGGACCTGCGTCTCGAAACAAGGACGTGCGCGTTCGGGCTCCGGTGGTTGGACCCCCCAAACCCACCCCTGGCCCATCTTCGAAACGGAGGGGGATGGATCATCTGATCATCTTGACGAAACATGACGCAACAGCACACGCAACACATCACACTCGGCTCACGACCGGCAAACGACCGGTCCATGCCTCGACGTGAGCTTCTGGCAGCTCCATGGTCTCGTCCACGCCCAGGACATGTCCGGGGATCGGAAGTCGGCGCCTCCGTTTGGGCCTTCGAGGCTCGAGCCGCTCCAAAGCATTATCCATGTCAGGCTCTGCCATCTCAAGCGCTGACCTGGTCGCTGCGGAGGTACCTGTAAACATCTGGTAAACTATATAATCACCCAAATCCAGAGCACGGCAGTTGCCTGTTAGAGGAAATTCCTCTCGGATAGATAGATTTATATCCTTTCAACTTTCAACTTCCAAGTGACCCGGGCTGTCCGCCTGGCACCTCCACTTGCGCGGGTGGCGGCTCGTGCATCTCCGTCTGCGGCTCTGCAGGCATCGGCTGCTCGGGGAAGAAGTTCGTGACCAGCAGCGAGCCCGCCGCTTCGTCCAGCGCTGGCACTGCGACGGCCCAATCAGAGCTGTCCGGTGGTTCAGGGAGGCGCTCCACCTGCGGAGGAGAAGCCAACTGGAAAACGAACAAAGATCTTGGTTTGCACTTCCATGCGCTTCCGGGTCCAGTCATGGGTGTCCTGGAAGGGAGACCTGTAGGGTTGTGCAGCCAGGTGAACTGGTACATGTACAACAGGGAACGTGTTTGCTCTCCTAGGCTACCCCGAGGTGTCCTGACGGATGTGTCCCGCCGGGGTTCTTCGAGGTGAACTGGTCCTTCTTCGTCCATCAGCGGAGGTCCATCCTGTCCAATCGAAGCGATGTTTTCCGATAGGGGCCGTTGATTTCTTCAATACGATGCCACAGTGGCTTTGTCTTAAAGATGTCCATCACAGATCTGGAGTCAGACTCGCACCTCCAAAGTTAGCATCTCCAAGGGTGTGGCTGTCCAATCAAAGGCCTCTGCCGCGTGGACACGTGTGAGGTCCAAGGTCAATGCATCCACCCGCTGCCTCTTCGCAGCAGGCAACTTCATCACCGGCTCTGAGTAGGGCTGTTCGGCAAAGAGCAAGACCATTCGCTCACAGTCGCTGTGCAAGATTTTGGCCCGGTCATTGTTAATCACGCCTGCATGGTGACGGAACAGGTGAAACACTGGGTAAAGGTGCAAAGAGTTGACCAAATCCAAAGAATTATGAATATGCATAATTCATGTCCACCATCATCCAAAAGATTTCAAAATGTTTCAATAGTATATCCAATGGCAATCTGAGATGCAAAAACCCTTGATCATGGTCCCATAGACTCGCAAGCTCAATGCCTTTCCTGTCTGAGGTCCAAAATCGGACAAGAGCCGCCGTACACGCTCCTGCACGTTCAAGTCGATCTGACGCTTCCTAGCCCGAACAGCTGTCGTGGCCGCAATCCATGCATCCTGCCACACATCTTGATGGATGCCAAAATTCACCTCCATGACTGTGGCGGAAAGGTTAGGCTCGATGGCACTTTGGCAAGCTCAACACTTAATCCAACAACCCTGCAAACTATTGAAACATATTGACACAACATATTATCCAAATGCATGTTGTATGAATTGTTCATTCCGTTGGATCTCTTCCAACTTCCAGTTCTGATTCCAAGCCATTGAGCCGAACTCTGTCCGTTTTGCGACACAAAGAGGTATGGCACCTTTGCGGTTTCATCGTGGTGTTGGTTTTCATCGTGTCCCTATGGATCCACTGCCACCTTCTCAGAAGGTATGACTGGGCCCTCCTGGCGCCTACTTCAATACTCTCCAATCACCTTCTCAGAAGATATATATGTGGATTCACAGGGGGTCAACAGCAAACAAACAAATACAAACACATCCAGGACATTCCAGGACCCTCACTCTTCAGTGCCCAGGCAGGGCCCAGGCACTTCACCATTGACCTGTAGACTCGTCTTTCGTGCTGGATGAGGTTCCCTTGGCCAAAGGAGCGCCCCATTTGAGTCTTCAGAATCGACTTTGAACAACTCAGCTACAGCTGTCTCGTCTTGCACTCCGGAAAGGCGCCTGCGTGTCTGAAGAGTCTGGGGACACATACACCCCGCCGTCCTCAGCGGTGCACCTGGCCATGTTCACATGTTCAGGCACCGTCACGTGTTCCAAAGAATCACCATTTTCCTGGGCGTTGTTTTCTGGCTTAATGTGAGCCTTATTTTTGGCATATGATTTTCGGTACAGTCTTTCAAAATCTTTCAAGCCTTGCCCTTGAAGGCCGTCGTGAGTTTTGACCTCGCTTAGGCCAGGCCACATGTGCTGAAAGAGGAAGAGCTCCATCATGGTGGCGGAGCAGGTATTCACCTCAGCGACAAATGCACAAGCCTGTCTCTGCAACAAATCTGAGATGGTCGACAATTGCACTTCACATCAGCGCAAGCAGAATTTGCAAATTATCACCCTAATTCTAAGAGCATATTGACAAGTGACTTCCCTCTGCGCACTACTCACTACTCTCATGTGACCGATGCTAGTGCCATGTGCATCCAGTGTGTTGCATTTTTGCACACTGCACTAGTAGCTCACGTATCCGAATGGCTTCTGCCAGGAGTTGAAGTTGGAACTTGGGATTTGGAAGCCTTCCACAGGCCAAATTCTGCGGCTCTCAGCTGTGTTTTGCAGCTCCGAATGCTCACTAGCCCCCGAGTGCTTGCATTGCGGTCTGGTCCATGCTGCCAATGCTCAACCCGGCATTTAGCAGTGAGGATGCCGCAAGACTTAGGCTGCCAATGCGATCGAGATGGGACCATACCTCTTAGTTGCTTCGGAAACTGACCAAACATATTTTACATTAACCCAAAACATCCAGTAGAATCGTAGAATAAAAGCAAACAAAACAGGAAGCATGTGTTGCTTTGTGGAAAACGTCCACCCTAGCTTGGGGTAGGACCATTTAGGGGAAAAGGGGCCATCAGATTGTCAATACCAGGATACGGAACGTCCTGCTGCACCTGCAGGGAACAAAATTGTCCAAACCGTTTGAAGGACACCCTTTTGTCAGAATTCAAAAACCTCATGAGAAAAGGAACTGGGGTGGTTTTGACGGGGCTGAAACTATACTTATATACTTGTTTTCTTTCATGTGGCCACAAAGAAAGGCATCCTCATTGGTTGAGGGTCCTACTTTGAGTTCGTGGGACGCTGGGTCCAAATCTGCCAACGTCTAAGCCTGCTAGGACCAAACAATGACAACAAAGGTTCAACAGCCTGTTTCAGTACAAGAACTACCCAATCAACGGTTTGCTGCTGCGTCTGTGTCGAAACTCATCAATATCATATATATATATAATATATCATGATATATCTGTTAACTACCCCTTTTCCCAAAACATGCGTCTCTTTTAAGCTCTGAGACACATCCATATTCGACGAAGACTCGCCAAAACCACCATCCCCCC